CGGCAGTTTTGGGCCTACCAGGATGCGTCGAATCAGTTGTTGGATGCAGGTAAAGTGGCTGGTAGTGAACTTGTGGCTACCGGGGCAGACAAGGCAGAGACAGCCGTCGGTGCGGTAGTCGAGCAGTGTGAACATGTACGTATTTGTTACAATCATAGCACAGAGCCCTTCTGAAATTCTGAAGTCTTTAGTAGTTTTGCAAGGGACGGTTCATTTATCTGGTCGCCTAAGCGTGAACGCATGAGCTCTAACTCATTAATGTATTGACTTATTCGAATGAGTTCATCCTCCTCATCATCACCGCACACATTGATAACTAGATCGTATCTTCATCTGAGCTCCTTGTCAACAAGTGGCATGCGTCTTTATGGTTGCTGATCATGAATGCCTACTCTCATCTTGTGCAGAGTCGGGATCGACACCGGAACTGTTTGTTCCAATTTGGACACAAACCTACTCACCAGGACGTAGTTGCCTTGGCAGATGCTCTTGTCTATTTCTAAACGCATCGCTGGGGCTAGTATGGGTACTCCACCCGGTGTGGGCTGGCCGGAACTACTGTCTGGGCTTGCCCCCCCCCCCATTGAGCTGACACTTGCGCCATCCGTGCCCTCACTCCCTTCTTCCCCACCATACACGCCTGCTCTGGTTTGTGATGGTGTGTGGGTATTGCGGATTATTGGTAAAGACTTTTGCTATATTCTATGCGAATGTGCGCTTCACACCCCTGTCTTTGCTATGGAATTGTATAAAATCAATAAAATCTGAAGATATTTTACTTACTATTGTATCATCCAGGGACCAGATTATCAAAAAAGCCAATCCTGAACCCAAACCTAGGATTGTCAAATACTGAATTTTGGATCTAGGATCCAATATTTCTGATGATAGAGTGATCAGCAATATAGCGGGATTACCGGTAGATGATACCGTAACTCCCGCGTGTGAGAGGAACACTTCAGTAAATATTGAGTCTAGTTTAGAAAATACTACACACAAATAAAGACTCAATGCGAGTCCTTCAGCCGAGTACATTTTACCTGGCTGTAGAATTCGCACTTGAGAAGAGGTCTATTGTTTCTTCTGGTCGTATCTTATCAGCTACTCTCAAACTCTACACTATTGTAGTGTTGTTGCTTTGCTGCACTTCCATGGGAAGTGTTTACCTTCATGTGTGGTACAATAGCTTGTTGTTTTGTTTTCCTGTGTTTATGAGGGTTTAAATGGTGTTTGTTAGTCAAGCATATTTTGTCACGTGTGGACTTACTTGTGATTATTCCGTCGTATGAGAAATTAATTTCTCATGTGATCTTAATTAGATGATCGGTCCTAGTGACGTCACCGATGAAGTTCGGTCCTAGTGACGTCACCGATGAAGTTCGGTCCTAGTGACGTCACCGATGAAGTTCGGTCCTAGTGACGTCACCGATGAAGTTCGGTCCTAGTGACGTCACCGATGAAGTTCGGTCCTAGTGACGTCACCGATGAAGTTCGGTCCTAGTGACGTCACCGATGAAGTTCGGTCCTAGTGACGTCAACCCTTGATGTTCGGTCCTGTGCCTAGTTGTGTTGTCTATCGTACTTCTATTATTTGATACATTGTGTTGGCGAAGCTTTGTCTTATAGACGTCACCACTTGCTGTTCGGTCTTGCGCCGACTTGTGTTGTGTACCTTGCCTCGTGTACCTGGTTTTAGGGTTTTAGGGTTTTAGGGTTTTACATGCCGTGTGTTGGACTTGAATCGTCCTTCACTCTTGGTGATCTTTGAAGTTTGATCTTGCTTTGTTGTCGTCATGACTCTGCGTGTCTTGTTCGTTTACGTTTTATTGTTTGAGTTTCAGATTTAATGGGTGTTTCGCTCAATTGTGTTGTGTTACTCACCTTTATTCAGATTACTTTGACTAATTATCTGGTAATTCACTTCGTGTGTAGCGTTTTTGAGTTTAAAACGGGTATTTATTAGCCTTCTGGTATACCTAATAGCCCTGTTCTCTATAAGTTGTGTTGACTTGCACACTTCCTAGGTTATATTCTGCTTATTTAGCATCTGATGTCCCCGTCCATCTCTATCGATGTATCTTTGTTGATTACTTTAACGCCTTTGATCGTGAGTTCTATTCTTAATCTCTTGTGATCGTCGCCGTAGTAATTATACCCGACCAGATTGGCTTGTCTATTGCCTATGCAATTGTTCGAACTCGTCTGTTGTTGATTGATAGTGTGCGTATATATTCTTTATATAGCTGATTCGTGTGGTTTGGTCATGTGACCTTGAATTCTGTGCTCAATCTCCTTTTTGATCGTTTTCGGTATGGATTGTACCCGGTCAGATTGATTACAGTTGTTCGCGTTGTATGTTTTACTGGTGTGGTAAACTGAAGTGTCGTGTATGTCTGTTATGTGCACTGCTATGCCCCAATTGTGCCTGTGCTTCTTGTACATTGTTCCCGATTGAGATCAGATGTGTACATTCTTTGTCTTTCAATATATATGTGTTAACACCCTTTCTTCCTCTGTATATATTTGTGTATTGGGATTATGTTTGGTAGTTTTATTTTAAATAAGAAGAAAGTCGCTAAATGTACATTAAGAATGTGGAAAAGTCACTACTGTACATTCACCCATTTTGTCGATGAAAACGTTCTGACATATTGATCAAATATATACAAATGGACATTTAGCGACAGTTCCAATTATTTTATGTACATTTAGTGACTTTATCGTGCAAAATTTGCTTAAATTTAAATTAAAGAGCCTTCGGCTATACCCATTTTTTACGAATAAATTTGTTGAAGGAGGTTATATTGTCTTTTATTATTTATTGTTTGTATATGCTACTTCATTCAAGCTTATCTCACTGCATAGTGCGCAATTCACGTGGTCGATGATATTCTTTTACAGAATCGTTCTATAATATCAGCTCTAGCAGAAGTTGGCATACTATCTAAAATAATTTTTGCAGCGTTTATTAATACAATGAGATGCTACAGACAGAAACATACATACCACACGATAGGATTAGAGAACCAGGATACAGATTTTTACGCCGCATGGAACTCTCAGAATTTCTTGTGGGAGCGCAGGTGAGGTTCTGGATATATGTGGGCCAGCATCGGCTCAGACGCATGTGATTTGGTCCTGCAATGGTTCAAGCAGTTACACATGTGAATATGCACAAGTTAAGTTATAACGGAAAATCGTATACTATGCATCGCACGTATGTCGATTTTTACCATGACCCAGTGGACCCAGGTACAGATGCGGAACCAGCAGCACAACGTGTTACAGTGACATGAACATATGCAGTGTGGCTGTTGTGGGCATCGGCGTTTCGGCTACTACCCCATGCGGAGCGACTTGCCTTGTCCAGACTTATGAAGACCAATATGATGGCCAAGAAGTGGCTGGTGAGGATCGCAATCGGTATGGAAAAGATTACAGGGTGTCATTGTAGAGTATAGAGAGTAGCTGAAAGGTACGAGTCAAAGAATGCAATAGACCTCTTCTCACGCACGGTTGTCTCAGCTAGGAAACTTTGTCTCGAACACCGAACCAAGTCTTTGTTTGTGTTTTCTATTTCACTAGACTCAGGTCTCTATTTGAGTGTTTCTCTCACACGCGGAGTCCCGGTATAGCTTACCGGTTCTACCGCTGATGTTTCTGATGACTTGTTATCAGGAAAATTTGAATCATAATTTCAAAACTCAATATTTGATTATTCTGCGGTTTTAGTACTTGTATTGGCTTTTTAATCAACTGGTCCCTAGATGCTACAGCCCCCCAGCTGTATGCTTCTTAGCCTGCGTAGGAGTAGAAAGTGACATCTTACAGTACTAGATTTTTTTAGAGGTTGGTGTTTGTATACTGGGAAAAACTTGTCCCTTAG